CTGACAGATGCACTTGTTTGACCACATACAGATGAGCAGCTCCACGTGACTTGTTAAATTATCCGTAGGAGGTTGGAACGTACCAAAATGGTTTGATTTTTCCAGATAGTCTATGTATCCTGGTCAGTCTCCGAGAAAAGCAGTGTAACATTTCTGAGCTTTATGATATCTGCACCACCTCTATTATTGAATTTGAGGGAGTAGAAATTGTGAGAAAAAATGGCCAAAAGTAGGTAAGGCGAAGAAATGCAGTATTCTTGAAATCAATTCTACCTCAAAGTGACAGAAATTAATTCACTTTAGGGAGTCGCGATTTCTCTTGGTACCGACCAAGAGAATCTGGAAGAATTAGTAAAAGCGCTATTTAACCTAAAAATTTACATGGCATTGTTATTGTCGTTCCTGGTAAACATATTGCAGACAATGGACAACTTCAGTCAATCCTCTATGTGATATATGATGTGATATATGATATATGATAATATGATAATTGGGACCTCGGTTGGTCGCGTGGGTCAGAGTGTCGTGCTACTGATCAGCCGGCCGGCCGGGCCGCGAGTTCGAATCTCGCCTTCGCCATGGATGTTGTGTGTTTGTTTTAGGCAGCAGCGGTGGCCGCAGTAGTAGACCCTTCGGTCTCCTGATCAGCCGCCGTGCGCTGTGCGGGTTCGAGTCCCGTCCCAGGAGAAATGTTTCTCTTGGCCATGGATGTTGTGATTGTCCGTAGGTGGTAGATGGTCTCTGACTGTCGAACGCGGAGGTACCACCCGGCGGTTCTCGTAGGCGGAGCCAGAATGTGTGCATGTTGCATGCACACGTGTTCCCTCGCCAGAGTCCGTGTGGCATCCCCCCTTTCCCATGTATCCCCCATAGCCCCACGGTACCCAATGGGTGCTTAGGCCTTAGGCCTTCGTGGTAGTTGGAGTATAAAAAAAAAAATATCATATAGAGGAGGCAGTTAAGGAATGGGAGTTTGGGAGAGATATTCTTGGGCACCGAGATCCTTTCATAATTTCGGATCGAAAATTTGTACAGATGTTCAGGTTGACCAAAGATCTGGTGAATGAATTTCTGGAGATATTGACTCCATTCATACAACTGCCCCCACTTTCGATCACAACAAAGGCAAGAGTAGATATTAAGTTTTAGTCATTCCAAAACAGTATTCTTTAATCTATGATTGAATTTTCCCTGGTGCATTTGGAGGTGCTCTCACAGGAATTCAATCATGTTGTCCTTTTGTAAAGTGTTTTGAGGTTTTCGGCTCCATAGATAAAATTATAAGGAGGAAACCTTGACCAAAATCTTTTAGTTTTTGACTGTCAAAATTATCTCCACTTTCATTGGCTCGACACATTAACTCAAACCTGGCTACCCCGTGATCTAATTTCTTTTCTCCTTTCTATCGAGTCCTTGCAAGAATACAGTATTTTCGAATCGATAGAAAACCGGGGGAGTAGAAAAAGAGAGGGAGTGTTATTTTCTATCAAAGTCAAGAGTAGGGGCACAGACCAGATAAAGTACTCTTACATACGAAGTTATATCATCTCACCAGTCCCTTTCGAATACATAATTGACTCCCGATGACTGGCAAACACTAAAAGCAAGATTTTCTTTGTTCATTGACAGAGAGCTTCTGTCACAAAATTTATCTTCTCAACGTTCGCCCGCTGTCTACTTCAGACGAACTGTCGCTACATAAATCATCATTGTAAGCCCAGTACAGCGTTTCAGTTCGTTCTGAAAGTGCTCTACACGTAAATATAATGTGGAATAATTACGTATAATAAAGGCAGACTTATAGTCTTTCAGTTCCTCTCGCTCGACTTCTTGTTCTTGTGTGTAGTGCGCTCGACAGTTAAACGACCTTAGCACAGGGTCGGGCGTAGGGTTATTACACAGATAAAGTGTGCAGATAACCATTATAATTTGTTCTGATTGACAAACTAGGGGACTTGCAGCATATTGTATTCTGCGAAATGTATCCTGTAATTTTGTTTTAGCTGGCTTCCATATGCAGTTTGCGCGTATGATACGATCGTTTAGATCAGGGTTTCCCAACTTTTTTTTTTGTTGAATCTCCCGGACTATATAGTGAATACAAAAAAAACGCACATTATATAGGTACAAAGACTTTTATTTTAATTCTAATAAAGAAGTTTAAATAAACTAATTAATAATAATAATAATAATAATAATAATAATAATAATAATAATAATAATAATAATAATAATAATAATAATAATAATAATAATATTTATTTACTCTAAAATACAGGGAACATGAAACGAGTAAATAAATATAATATATCCATAGGAGGACAACGCCTGTGCATGGATCATATGTATGTTGAATTGCAAAAGATAATAAAATAGAGAGAAAAAAGAAATTATTGGTAAGAATGGTAGAGCATTTATTGTGTAATATTTGAGATTATTTTATTAATTTGATTTCTCCCAACCGTGTTAATAATTTTTTTTAATTTTTTTTGAAGCCTAATGTATTGCGTAATTGTTTTAAATTATTTGATAAATGTTCGTACAATTTTGGAGCTATATACAGGTGACATCGTTTCATTAGGGATTTGTTTGGTTTAGGAACATTTTTTGCGCGTAATTTATATCTGGTTTTATGATTATGTTTAATTATGTCGTGTTCACTAATAGTTTTGTGATAATGAGTGATGGTATGTAAGAAGTAAAGTTGTTTAGTATCATATACTTGTGCATCATTATATAAGTCATTAGTTGGGTATAATTTTGATTTGCCTAACATTGATTTTAAAATTCTTCTTTGAAGTACATCTAAATCGTTAAAGTATGTCGTGCATGCAGCACCCCACACTACTATACCGTATGTTATGTGTGGCTCGACTTAAGCTTGATATATTATTCGTAGATAATATTCAGTTAATATACCGGTTAGAAATTTTATTTTATATGCTATGAATCTAATTTTCTTTAGTATGTGAGAAATATGTACATCCCATCTCAAGTGGGGATCTAGATAAATTCCTAAATGTTTTGTATCATTAACTCTATTGATTTTTATATTTTTATCATTTACCTTAAACCGAAGGTGGTTATATTTTGGTAGATGATTAGATAGTGATGAAAATGGTAAAAAATGAGTTTTAGTAAAGTTAATTGTTAATTCTCGGTTATTAAACCACTGAATAATTTTGCAAAAGTCATTTTGGATAATATCTTTTAAGTCGTTCCAATCCTTACCTTTATAGAGTATAGCAGTATCGTCTGCAAAACTGACTATTTTACCAGTACTGTTAATTTTGAATATATCGTTTAAATAAATATTGAATAACAGAGGACCCAAAATTGTACCTTGTGGAAAACCACATTTAACAAACATTTCTTTACTATACGAGTTTAATAATTTTACTGATTGCGGTCTATTTGATAAATCATTTTCCATTAAAGTATACATCTTTCCACGAAAACCTATTCTTTCTAAGATTTCCAAAAGTATATTGTGGTTAACTGTGTCAAACGCTTTTTGTAAGTCCACAAATACGCATATCGATGGTACTTTTCCATCTATATTTAGGGTTTTCATTACTTTCATCTACTATACTTAATACCCCATCTGTTGTAGATTTGCCCGCTATAAAACCATATTGATTTGAATTTGGAATTTTGAATTTATTAAGGAAATTAATCATTTTATTAAGGAGTAATTTCTCAAAAACTTTATTATAATGTTTATTATAAAATAAAAGTAGGTACTAATGAGACACTTGAGATTGCATGTTCTGTACCAGTTGGTACATTCTAGGTTCTGATTTTGCCAGAGCTATCATCAGGTCGCTATCGACATCAAAACGACTTCGCTGTTTAGTTTTAATTAAAACTAGAGCAGAAAAGCCTGTCTCACATAATTAAGTTGAAGAAAAAGCAAGAGAGGCAAGTGTCGAATTGGCAGGCAATCTTTTGATCCAAAGTTTCTCCAATGTTAAAAGATGGAAGTCACCTTTTATGGACGAATCTGCCTTCATTTCTAGAAATTCTTCCTGAACTTGATCTGGTAATTGTGATACATCGACAACAAATGGATTTCTTGTCATGTGCCATATTGGTGACTCTGATCTGATGTCTCGATAGTATCGGCGAAATTCGTCTTCCTGCGCTTGCAAATGAGTTTTTATGTCAGCTTTTAAATTTGCGTCCAGTATGTTATTTTTAATTACGTCGAACAGCCGAAAAAAATATATAACATTTTCAAAAGACACTTATAACTGCTTATTATAGTATTGTTTCTGCCCTGAAGAATCAAGTTTAGCTCATTCAAGGAGTCAAATATAAGAGTATATAAAAAAAATATGTCAGTCAAATAAGCCAACCTCCATTGAAATGTGTCATCTTTGAACATTGTCAAGAAATCGTGCTTTTCTTTAAACTCAAGAAAAAGAATTACCCCTTCTTTCAATTCATAAAGGCGAGCCAACATGCTGCCTTAGGACAGCCAGCGTACTTCTGTATGGGTCAGAAGAGCTTTGTGATCAGAATCGAGATTCTCGCAAAGTAAAGTAAATAACCGACTGTTCAAAAGTTTACAATCCTTATAGCCGAGTCCAAAGTGTGGCGTAATTTATGTGGCAATGTTTTGGAAGCCAAAGCTTGCCGATGAATAACACAATGTGTACTAATCATTGCGAGATTTTTTTCACTCAGATTCTTAGCTAAGCCCGAACGTACACCCATGATTGCAGGTGCGCCATCTGTGCAAAGTCCAATGAGTTTCTTCCAATCCAAATAATTTTTTTCAACAAAATTTGATATTGAATTAAATATATCTTCAGATGTAATACCTGCTGTCAAAGATTGGGAGTACAAGATCTCTTCTTGAATGATATCTCCGCCGATGTAACGGTGCACAATTAACGATGTCGGTGGATTCATCGCAACTAATGGCAAAAATGGCGATAATTTTACTGTGTTAATTATTTGTGACTTTATGTCTGCTACAATGTCATCGATTTTACGTTTGACTGTTATTCGAAAGAGAAATAGACTACATTTTTTGCTCTGCATTTTCTCCTAAAATTATCTGCGAGACTTTTTGGACACATAGTTTTATTAATTCTTCACCGATAGTATGAGGTTTCTTTTGCTTTTGCTTCATAAAACCTATTTCAAATGAAGCTTTGAGATGATGCGATACATCTGTGTGATAACTTCTCGATTTATCCAGTCTCATCCGCTTGAGTGATTCTGCTTTAGAAGAAAACAACTCTTTCGTTTTCAAAACCAGAGTAGAGTGATGATGCTTCAAATGCCTTTCAAGGCGATTGGGCTTCATGCTATAATTACTTAAAACTTTCATACATATCACACACTGAGGCAATTGTAACTCGTCTTTTTCTATGCAGGTAAATCCAAACTTAACGTAATCTTCGGTAAACTTTCTTTTTTTCGTTGACATTTTGCACCTATAACAATAAAACACATAAGTAATAAATAAATAAGAAAAATACAGACATGTCATTACTAATTATATGCCCATTATTTTATCTTAATAACGTAATGTATTCAACAGTATATTGGTCACCGGGAGATTTATATTTTTATAGGCAGGTTGACGTTATAATAGTAATTTTAAATACATTTGGATTCAATATTAGGTACTTAAAGTTCGTCGTCTCAAACTTATTTCGCCACGTTGGTTTGATTGTGATGTGGTAAAAAAGTCCCAATGGCCGATATATGAACTCGTCTCCACTCAATCAACAATTTAGTAAATTAAATAAAAATGGTAACTTAAGTTTGTAAATACACAAACTTACGTTTTAACAGTCAGACACAATAATTTGACACACTCAAACAGATTTCTCAACAAAATATGTACATCGAAACAAATTTTTCGCAAGTTTGTGGGAATGAATGTCACAGATGCTCATCCGCGTCTGGTAGGTACACAATTATTGTTTTCTAAGTTATGAATGTTAATCGGAGCGCGGTGGGGGTGCGCGCGGATTTCATGTTGTGACATGTCGAAACTTGTAGAAAGTACGATTGACGACGCCGGGTTTTGAAACAGCGGTTCACAGAATAAGTGAATATGATATTTAATTTCTAATTTTATGTGTTTAAATTAAACATTACATTGTAATGTTATTTGTTAATGTGGTTTGTTTATTTTTTTTTGTTTTTTCTTTCTAAAATGCAAAATCCTGGTTTAGATTGTGCTGCATGTTTTTGTGTGGCTTCAAAATAAAAATGACCACTGGTTGGTACCAAGGGCTGTCAACACAAAACGAGAAGCTTCTGCAAGGCATGAGAGGAAGATATTGCCTAGCTCAGCAGTGTCCGACACTTCTGGAGATGATTCTTTCGTGCAAAAGAAGTCAGAGTCGGGAGAATTGATATCAGCAAGGCTTCAGATCTTGACATAATCCCTACTTCAATAGTCTCAGAGGACTGGAAAATAGATCAAGTTCAACCTGCCGAAACAGGTAAAGAATCAATTAATGATTTATAGTAGACACACCTGAGAGGCTAACGCCATTTTTAGAAGTATACGTAGATAGCTGCTCTGAATATTGTAAGGAATTCTGGGCAGGGCTTCGTTCGTAAATTCTTACAGAATGTTACTTTGTTCTACTCTGTAACAATTTTAGCGTTCGTAACTGTTTGACGTACTTGTACCATGCATTTGGGAATAGAACAGGCTAACCTTTTTGGAACGTCAAGAGTGCAAATTTCTGCCCCTGCTCAAAACCTTGGAAATTATAGTACGAACTCAAGTCCTAGGACCTTCCAGGTTAGGATATCAGCAAAAACCTCGCATCACATTCGAGATCTACGCAACAAATTTACCGAAGTAATGTGCTTTGGTCAAGGTTGCAGATACGATAGAGTTTTTGAAAATTTTTCTTCACTCTAAACCTTCTTCAAGGCATGTATCCATTTTCGTCACCTGTTACAAGTGAATGAAACTCGGTCACTGAGGTGACTTGGGATGCTTATTTGTAATATTATATGATACTGAGATTAAATGAGAATATCAAGAAGTCCGGAGATCTGATGCCAGAAACTGACATCAGATTCTTTTCCCATGTGCCAAGTTCACTAAATAAACGGGGTTTCGTCGATTTTTTTTTAACGCAATCACTCTATCTTGAAGTACACGAATACTGTCCTCCTGAGCAAAGGCTGCACTTACACTCACGCCTGCTAGATCGACTCATTTCAGAACAATGATTGTCATACATAAATGGGAATCTTTACTTTTTCTCATCAATCATAAGAGCTGTTGCGGTATTTAGAGCCTAAAAATGTAAATTGTGTATTCTTCATTAATCCCTCTTTGTACGTTGATCCAATGCATTATAAATTCGTTTACAAATTTAGTTTCTGCTTCCGTTCACTACTCTGCATATCTACTTCTGTGTAATAAACAACTTCTTTGCACAAGCGTATATAATTTCTTTTGTTATATTCACCGTCTTGAAGAGTTTGTCGAGATAATTAGGTCATATATCTCAAACAGGACTTCCACAATTAAGCAAGAAGATGAGTATACTGACCTGCATATCCATGATGGATTACTGCAGGAAAAGTGTTCTAGGTCCAATACCCTATATTCTGCACATAAATCTGACAGTGATCTAATAAGTTCTGTTAGTAGAGTACAGACTGGCACCAATAATTTAGTGAAATGGATCCAGAAGGGAAAAATCAAATGGAACGGATTAAAATCGATCCACGTTTACGTTATGAACTGGAGATTGCCAAGTCTTCCTCAAATAAGCGTTAAGCACGATCATACCATTTAGGAGAAATGCTGAATGCTTATGTATCACACTTGACACCGGGCTCAAGCGTAGGCACAATATCAAAAAGAAAATGGTGGAAGAACTAAATCCGTGTGGCTCTATGGTTGTCAACTATAATGGGGCTTCCCAAAAATTCCAACATCGAAATTATTCCAAAATGAAGTTCTGAGGAACATGGTAAACTTCCCTTGATATGCTCAAAATCAATGCAAAAGCGCTTCACCTAGCTGGACAACTAAAATATCACCGGACGATTGAAGAGAGTTAAGCCATATGAATTGTGTAGTATTTTGTGTTTGAAGCAGATCCCGTGCCTGAGGTCCTAATCATAGTACTAAATATAGGTTAGGACTGTCTAAAGGACATCAATGGATTGCCTATAGTGATAATCATTAGTTGTGAGATAACACAGGAAAATTAATAGTAGGTCGAATTGATCAGTTTTAATAGTCGGGCATCAAAGCTACAATAGAAAGAAAACAAAAGTATGTTCTGTTCCGAGAAATCAACAGTGAAAAACGTATTTATCAACTTAGATCATCTTCATCTTATCTAGATCCAATCCTGTATGCTCTCAACTTGCTCCACCAGTTGCTGAACTACAAAAATCCTGTAAGTCAACTCTCCATATTAGTTTTCTGTTACACATCGGATGGTAAGCATTTCGTATTCAGCACTTCTTCGTCTCCCGTATAAGGACATTCGGTGCAATCAATGGGATGTTATCTTCACTTATAATAACAGAGATTGGTGATGAAGAAGTAGTTGTAATTAGCTGATTTAAATGATTTCCAGATGCCAGTGAAATTGAAATACTCGTTTTCGCTTTTGAAGAGTTGAGCTAGGTTGAATGCTGTCTCTGTGCTCGGTTCTTAGCAAATCAGTGTTTGAGTCACAGCGTAGCAACCTTCAGATATGTAGGAGAATACTCATGGAAAAGAACCCTCAAAAACTTTGTGGGAAGTGATTCTTTTTCATGATCTAACATAGATGTCATATAATATACATTTCAAAATTTTTTGCGCTTACAATAGCAATCTCTGATATTCAGCTGGAGGTGGGACACCCTGTCTAATCCTGAACTATTTTGAAATCTATTCCCATATGAACGGTGCTGGATTGTATTCAACAGCTCTTGAAAGCATCGACGACTCAGAGCTGCACTCCATCCATGCAAGGTTGAGCTAGCTTGTACGGCTCATGGAATTGAAATATTGGTTAACTGACTAATAAAGATGACGTTAAGCACTTAGATAAAGTATAAAACACCACTGCGCTCGTTCACTTAACCGACAATATGCTGTAATAGGGTATACACATCTATAGTCAACGCCAAACAAAGTGGCGTGCACGTCATCAAGGTGGGTGTGTTGAAAAATTTACATTGTTGCCAAACTGTTTGTAAAATAATAAAATTTATTATTTACATATCTAGGTTTATAAGCAATATTAACCTCAAATGAGAACAAAAATAATAGTATAATAAAATTATAGATCTGTACTTGCATAATCATTAAGTATGACAATTATTGATCAGATGACACTATGAAACTACCATATTTAATTGATAGCTTAAAGGTACTGAATAAAAATCCAAATGGGGTCCTCCAAATTTTATGCATGGTATTTATTTTACAGAATTCATACAGAAAAATGCATTCTAAAATTAGGTAAGCTACTGGTGTAAGCTTTTTCTGTACAATAAAGTTAGTCGGAGTTTCTTTCTTCAGCGCTGTCTGAATCTGAATCTTCATCACTCTCAAAGTTGATTATTAAAGGTTCGATGTCTGGTCGATCAAAAATTCGTTCTCTTTCATACCATTTAAAAATTTCTTGCTCAGTATGTCGAACACTATTTTTCCACATGTCTGGGGTAACCGTTTGTAGAGCCTCGTTCCACATATCCAAACAGTCTTTTTCACTGTTACCATCTCTACCAATATGTCTGTTATAGTAACCTTTTGCTATGCCCCAAATTAACTCAATAGGGTTAAACATACAATGGTAGGGAGGCAGACGAAGAACTTTGTGCCCATGTTGTTCCGCCAATTCATCAATCACGTATATTTTAGGTGGTTTGTTTCTAAAAAAGCAGTTATTTTAAGAATAGGAATAAACAAAAGAAATATAAACTGTCGACCAAAATATATATAATTAAGAAGCATTATGTACCGAGCAACAATACTCAATAGCTCTGTTTTAAACATTGTGTTTAAAAATGGTATGTTTTGATTTGTCAACCAGTCTTGGATATTTTTTTTGTCCATGCATTGTTGGGCACTTTGTTCAGTATCATGCTGTGATAAGGTGCGTTATCCAGTATAATCATAGATGGACTCTCCAATTTTTCTAATAACTGATGTTGAAACCATTTCAAAAAATTGTCCTGGTTCATCTCTCCATGGTAATCGCTCAATTTTGTTTTCGAAGAAAATATCGCTTCACTACCCTCAATAAACCCAATTTCATTTCCAGCATGTAATATAATGTATCTAAAATATATTAGTTTTAAATTTGATAGTGCAAATTGTATAAAAGTACATACCTTTTACCATCTGTTTTAATAGCTTTCACGCTTTTTTGGTTTCCATTTTGCCAACAGCGACCTATGGTCCCATTTTGAAATATCCAAGTTTCATCGAGGAAGACAAACTGGTATAAGGCCTCAACCTTGGCTTTATTGTATTGCCTTAGAAATTCCACCCTTTTCAAAGCTATACTTGGTAGTTCCATGAGCCCTCGTCGCGGATTGTCCTTAAGCCACTTAAATCCAAGATCTCTAAGCAACCGCCTTAAAGACGTGGCACTACCATCAAATAATGCCCTATCTCTTAATCGAGACCATAAAGTTTGTATCGTAACTTGTTCTTCTGAAACCATGTGTAATATGACATTATAATTTAGTTAACAAATTAATGCAAATTTCTGATAAGTTATTATAATAAGATCTTACTTTTGTGATACATATTATAGATCACTTCTCGAATGGCACTTGTATCGTGTTGGTTACACGTTTAATATAACTCCGCTTTTTCTTGGG